AACAAATGGATATTTTCCATGTTTGAAACGACTACGACAACTGCATTCACGCTTGAGAACTGATCAAGAGCTGCTTGAACAGTACGATCAAGTCATACAAGAGCAAATAAAGTCAGGTATAATCGAGAAAGTCCCTGGATGTTCGGCAAGCGATGAAGCAACGCATTTTCTACCTCATCACGGCGTGATACGAGAAGATAAGGCGACTACGAAGGTTCGAGTAGTTTTCGACGGGTCAGCGAAGCACGGTTCATCGAATTTGTCCCTCAACGACTGCCTGGAAAAGGGACCGAACTTAGTTCCCCACCTATTTGACGTCGTTGTAAAGTTCAGGGGTTACCCTGTAGGAATCGTGGCCGATGTGGAAAAGGCGTTCCACCAGATTGAGATAAATCCAGATAACCGGCGAATGTTGCGCTTCTTGTGGTTCGACGATATACGCAAGGAACATCCAGACATTGTTGAATATCAGTTTTGTTGCCTAGTATTTGGGTTGACCCCAAGCCCAGCTATTTTAAATTCGGTTATACAACGTCATTTGGAATCGCACAAAACGAAAGAGCCCGAAGTCGTTGCATTGTTGCAAGAGTCGTTCTACGTGGATGATTTGGTTGGAGGTGCGATGGAAGACGACCAGGCTTTAGAAATCTACGAAAAAGCAAACGACATCATGAACTCTGGCGGATTTAAATTGCGAAAATGGAATTCCAACTCGACAATTCTTCGGACGAAAGTCGCCGGCGAACTGAAGTGCAGTAAAGTCGACAAAACCGTATTAACTGAAGTGAAACCCCTCGGGAGTAAGCAAGACGTGTTTACCAACTCGACAGAAAAGGAAAACCGAACTGAGAGAGATTCAAACGAAGCGAATGACGACATTTTGTCCGCGCCATCCGAAGCTGATGACGATCCGAAACCAGAATGTTCTATAAAAATTCTAGGACTGAATTGGAATATCAACACTGATGAAATTCACTATGACCTAACTGCATTGGTGAACTTTGCGGCAACACTTAATCCTACGAAGCGATCAGTGCTACGACTCGCGGCTAAAGTGTTTGATCCACTTGGATTCCTTACCCCATTTACGATCTGTATGAAAGTTTTGTTCCAAGCTCTGTGTGTTCATGGCGTTAATTGGGATGACGTGTTAGATGGAGAAGAGTTAGCGGCGTGGAAAAGATTTATCGTAAACCTCTCAGCATTGAACGACATTCGAATACCTCGATGTTACTTCCGAAGAACCAAAGAGAAACCGACAGGTCACCAGCTTCACGGGTTTAGTGACGCCTCATCGAAGGCCTACGCAGCCGTAGTGTATTTGCGAACAGTTCATCATAACGGAGAAATTGAAGTAAATCTTGTGGCCTCCAAAACGAGAGTGGCTCCGATAAAAAAACAATCCGTACCACGACTAGAATTACTGGGTGCAACTATCCTAGCTCGATTGATGAACTCTGTCCAGAAAGGGCTAACGTCATTGAACACGACTCCTGAAGTATTTTGTTGGACTGATTCTTACACAGTTTTGTGTTGGATCAGAAACGAGAAAGTTTGGAAATCTTACGTCAATCATCGTGTCCAAGAGATACGGGACCTTGTCGAGAAAGAATCCTGGAGATTTTGCCCAGGCGAACAAAACCCCGCAGATTTGCCATCTCGAGGAAGTCGCGGAATTGAGTTAACGAAGAATACGACGTGGTGGAACGGTCCAGAGTTTATTCGAAGCACCGAGGAGGCTTGGCCGAGTGAACCAGGACCTACGAAGAGTGACGAACTGAGCGCGTTCGCAGAAATCACGAAGCCCAAGATTGAACCAACGATAACGAGAGCTTGAGCCAATGTTACGATCACCCCACCTAACGTAGAAGCCATCATGGATTGCAACCGGTACAGTACCAAAGAGCAACTTTTACGAGTAACAGCGTTATTAAAGAGATTCGGTGACAAAACGAGGAGACAGCCAGTGCCAATTGAAGTAACTGCGAATGAACTAAGAGCAGCTGAAAAACTTTGGGTGAATACCATACAGGCAAGCAATTTCGAAGACGAAAGGTCATATCTCCAAGGAGTTTCGAAGAAAGAACCGCTGCTCGTAAGACAGTTGGATTTATTCTTGGACGAAGAAGGTACGATTCGATGCCAAGGTCGAATAGATAAATCATCATTACCCATGACGACAAAGCGGCCAATACTTCTTCCTGCACGACATTTCTATACGCAACTTGTAATTCGCAACTGTCACGAAGTCGTCCATCACAACGGTGTCAAAGAAACATTGAACTGCATTCGCGAAGTATATTGGATTCCAAGAGGTCGAGAAGCCGTTAAACGTGTAATTGGAGTATGTGTTACATGTAGAAAACACGAAGGGAAGCCATACGGTTCACCAAAGTTCGCCCCGCTACCATCATGTAGAGTAAGCGATGATCCACCTTTTGCTCACACCGGCATGGACTTCGCTGGACCACTATATTTAACGACCGAAGGTGAAGATGATAAAGAACGAAAGTTGCAAAAGGCGTACATTTGTCTCTATACCTGCGCGTCAACAAGAGCGTTACACCTTGAACTTGTGCCAAATTTATCAGTGTCTACATTCTTACAATCATTTAGAAGATTCACCGCTCGAAGAGGATTACCGACAAAGTTACTATCGGATAACGCGAAAACGTTTAAAGCGGCTGCAAAAGAAGTCAAGGGAATTACGAGATCTATGGAAGTTCAGCGGTATTTGGCGAACAAAGGAATCACGTGGGAGTTCATCGTGGAAAAGGCACCCTGGCAAGGGGGTTTCTGGGAAAGAATGGTGAAATGTGTCAAACGCTGTCTGAAAAAGGCGGTGGGTCGAGCATCATTATCGTTTGAAGAAATGCGCACATTATTGATTGAGATTGAAGCTACGCTGAACAATCGACCTATGACTTACGTATACGATGATGAAGAAGGCGTGTCTTATCCGTTAACACCTGCATCGTTGATCTATGGTCGAAACATCGCTACAACGCCAAACGATAAGCAATTCGAAGTGATCAGTACAAATCAATCCCTAACTCGACGACAGAAGTATCACAAAAGGCTTTTAAACCAGTTTGCGAAGCAATGGAGAACTGAGTATCTCGCTAGTTTAAGAGAGTCATCAAGGTCAAAGGTTTCGTCGGATGCGGCTCGTAAGCTGGCGATAGAAGAAGGAGAGATCGTAGTTTTAAAGAACGACAAGTCATCACGATCATTTTGGAAGTTAGCTAGGGTGGAGGAATTACTCGCCAGTAAAGACGGTGTTATTAGAGCGGCAAAGGTACGCGTAGTTAATCAAGAGAATGGAAAATCAACATGGTTACGAAGACCCATACAACACCTTGTTCCTCTAGAAATACGGTCGAGTTGCAAACAGAAGAACGAAACGCACGCGAGGGATCCTACGACGGAAGAGACGAAAGAGGATGCCTCTTCAAAGGAACCGCTGAAGGCGAACGCAAGGAGTACAGTTGTTACTAAATACTTCCTACGAAGTCAGAACAATCGTAAAGATACTGTGTGACACAATAACGTGATTTAAGTTTATTAATAGTTATATTAGTACAAACATTAACCCTCGGGAGTGTATCGAACGGTTCAGGTTTATATTAACATTATAAATGATAGTAATGACGTAGAGACAACGCGCCAATCAGAAGCTAGTGTGGCACGCCCACAACCCGCCTTCTTTTTAGAGTTCACGCCTCCAGACATGGCGAAAATATAACAAAGCTAGCGCCAGTGCCGAACCGGCTGTTTTATTGTGATATGTGGTTAAATGTTATTAAATATATAGTAAAATTGAACGTTGTTTACAGTAACAGTTCAGAGTCAGTGTAGAATGAATTGGTGTTTGCTTTCCCCAGACAGCCCCTAGAAATCGATGACTTGTGAGTTGTGTATGGCAACCAGTACTGACGATAACCCACAAACTCGACATGTTAATGAGCACCATAAGCAAGAACTGATACAGAGGTTGTTGGAATTCCAGAAAAAGTTGGCTAACAGATTATAGATGCCAAGAAATATGTTTTATGTCCAAATGTGTTGATGGAATTTAACAAATTCCATATTAAGCAAGTGGCAAACAATTGTCACTTATTATTTTTGCTTGGATGTTGTTCTTGTACACATTGAAATTTGGCGACATCAGTATGCCTGTATGCTTCAAGTAATTGCAGAAGTCTTTGGTGATATTGAGTATGAATGTTCACATGCAGATTTAAGTACTGAAAACGTTTCTATGCTTGATGAATCGATCAATTCTGTGTGGAATGAACTCAGAGAGGACTCGTCATTTAACAGCATGTTTGAAAGTCTTAATGTAACTGCTGATGACACTACAGACGACGTCGACTGCAATGACATGTCTGATGCTGAGTCAAACCATTCTGGTAGCTAACAATAGTCTATTTCAAATGTTAGTTGATTAGGGTTGTATATTAAGTGTACACTGTATATTGCATTGGGGATCTTTAACTTGATTATATCTGCACAAACAGATGTGAAGTCCATGCAATAGTTATAAAATGATTTTGTTTTACAAAATTGTATACGTGCATACCTTGTTCAATCATATCCTTTTCAAAAATTAACACATTGAACTGCATGTAATGTGCCCTAATGTAATGTGCCCTAATTTACTTTTGTAATGTGTCTAAATATCTAATCCCAGACAATTTTACTTATCAAGGAAGAAGTTGGGTGTTAATCCACTCCAGCATTACCTTTATAATTAAAATTATATGGATTTAGTCAGATAATATGCATATACCTATACATATATTATTTGCAATACTGTAATAATCATAAATATTTGCATAGTTATATATAGTAAAACAATATTTATAAACTTTTTAGCGCCCTCAGGGACCAATCATTAAATATAGGGGAGGGGGGCTGAAATGAAAAATTAGATGCTAAAATTTCTTTGACCCCCCACCCTTGAGGATAACACAATTATATTTGACCCCCTCCACAAGGAATTTTGTACAAATAACAAAAGGCACATTCGTAATTTAAAGTTCTTATAAAGTGATGCCTTATTTAATTTATCATACCACCCTATCATAGTTGCCAACTTTGGGAAAAAAGGCATCCTTATTCCGTGAGATTTTGCTTTGGGGGACCCATGGGTGCCACCATAGTGTTGACCCCGAGCGGGAAAATTTTGAAAATATGGAGTCTCTAGATCGTTGGAAATGGCATTTTCAGAGTCTTCTATACCTTTATACACACAAGTTTTGGTAGCTTTTACTTAGATATACAAAACCATTTTGTTGAATACCCACGAGTACCAGGTTGCATGAAGTGATTATCTATTTTGGGCTCATTGGCGTGAAGTTTTTCAGAAGAAAAACGTCTTAAGTTAAAATGTGCAACAAAGCCAACATATTTAAGAACCAATTGGGTTATTTTTGAAATCCTTGAGAATCTGTGAGATATTAACAAAGCTGTGAGCTCACCGTGAGGTTGTAGAAAAATCTGTGATGCTCATGGTGAATCCGTGAGAGTTGGCAACTATGCCCTATGTACATGTATCGTAATTTATATATTCTTTACCATTTATTGAGTCAACAGCTGTTCCAATGTACATGTTTATGTTGAAATCAGTTTAGTAAATGGTGTTGTATTGGAGTTTACTACAGTTCTACTGCTCTCTATTTTTTATCTGTAGGTTTTATGGTACGACAGGGTCATACGGGGCAGGTATTTATATTGCACGAAAATTTTGCACCCCCCCTTTTTTCATGCACAAAAATATCTGACCCCCTCTCTTTTTCCACCAGCCCCTATAATTAAAGACCGGTCCGTCATTTCCACCCACGAGCGTCTGTGACGCAGGCTACAAGATTCGAAGAGAAGATGGGTTCCCCACACGCTTCTCAGATATAGAAAGAAGTGTGACTGAATGACATCAGTTGTGTATACAGTTTATTAGTTGATGTTTTGCAGACCTGGATCGAGATCAGTAATAAGGTCACCATGGAATTCATACATATCGTAAATCCCCAATATTCTTTATATGAATAGGGCAATGTATGAGAAAGTGGAAATATTTCAACTATCAAAATCATTTGCATTTAATGATTGCTTAATTTACTGGCTATATATATACTGCCATTGGATTACATAGTTATAATACTAACAACTGAGACTGTCATTGCATATACATGTGTACTATTTGTAGACAGCTGGCAATTACAATTTGCCTCAAATATGTGTGTAATATATTTCACTTAAACGACTCTAAGAGGCAGCTAGGAAACCTCACAGTTGTGTTTCAATTATTTTCTGCTTGCACGCCGGGTCAGCTCTTCCCAAAAATCGGCCATCTGATATAAACTTTTTCAATATATTTCGGATGGACATGAAACTTGCTACATCAATATAACTTTCCATTCGGAACAATCGTATGTTTTTTATTTTTGAGATTTAACGGTTTTTGGCGGGAAAATGACGTCACGAAACCTCCAGTTAAAATTTACTTTCAATATCTTAATAGTTTTGTCGCAGAATTTGGAAGAACATGTCATAAACAGTTCAAAACTGAAAACGGATTTTAAATATCTAAACCTAATCCAAAGTTATTTCACTATAAAAACCGTGAAAAATCTAAAAATAGTAACAAAATGGTGGAAAATTCGATTCTAAACTCCCTGTATCTCGTGATTAGATTAAGATATTTAAAATCTCTTTTCAGTTTTGAACTCTTCATGACATGATCTTCCACATTCTGCTTAAAAACTATTAAGATATTGAAAATAAATTTTAACTGGAGGTTTCGTGACGTCATTTTCCCGCCAAAAACCGTTAAATCTCAAAAATAAAAAACATACGATTGTTCGGAATGGAAAGTTATATTGATGTAGCAAGTTTCATGTCCATCCGAAATATATTGAAAAAGTTTATATCAGATGGCCGATTTTTGGGAAGAGCTGACCCGGCGTGTTGGTTGCAAATGCACGCGATTTACTGTAATGACTTATGTAGTCGCTCATACGACTTACGACAGGCCCCCAATGGCAATGTAGGTGAACTTTTCAATACATGCATTTAAAGTTGTGTATCCGCATGTATAACACTTAGAAAAACCCACCTATATTAACAGAATGTGCATTTGGATGCATAAACAGCCATGTCGTACCAAAAATGCATGGCAAACACATTCTGGGAAAATTAACAGACTATACTGTTTCTCAAGTTGTCATATAATTCATTTACTATATACCCCAGCTAGATATACTCGCTTTCTGTGCACCTATATTCTATAATACCACACTTTGATTTTCATCCATATCATAACAAATAATCTGCATACATAAGTTGCTTCAGTAGGTCGGTTTAGGTAGCATAGCATATTTTCACTGACATAATCAATCAGATCTTCGTCAACCCTTAGATAGATACAGGTCAACTCATTGCACGTTCAGCGCTTAAGGTTCAAGGTTTTGAGTTTGGAAGGACAACCTTTTTTGAATTCACTGTATACATGTCTCTCAATATTAGAACCTAAATTTTCAGGTTCGATGTGACAATCGAATTAGTGCTTTTTAGTACCAACTTCCGCAAATATCCGCCATATATTATGTCTACGCAGTCTATTACACATACGGTTAAAGATTTATGATCTGTTAGAACTTACGAGACAGATAAACAATTATCCACTATCATACGGACACCAGCTATACTTGTATTCTGATAACGAACCATACAGATAACCAAGCACTGCATGCAGACAGTACTTTATACTCAAACATAAACTTTAGTGAAGTCACGAAAGTTTGAAGAGATCGAAGACAAAAGGAAAATATTTGCGGTCACAATTATCTAAAAAAGCTCAGGTGGGTAGATTTTCATACAAAAGGTACTCCAAATTGATTGTTATTCTGATAACGAACCATACGGATCACCAAGCACTGCAGCCATAGAATAAAGATCCATATAGAAGGGCCACTTACGTCGGAAGCTTTGAAGTTTCTGTCCTCACGCATGTCGCATTGGCAATTGCTAGATAGTATACTTCAAAATAAGGTTTCCCTTTTTATATCAATTTTTAAAAAAGTTAGGGTTAGGTTGGGGTTTAGGTTAGGGTTAGGTTAGGGTTAGCATTATTTAGGGTTTAGTTTTGCGTTAAGATAGTTTTTTTTACGTTAACAAAACGGAAACCTTATTTTGAAGTATACTATCTAGCGATCACCATGTCGCATTACGCATGTTGGCCGCCATTTTCCTAGCCAGTCAATGACATTTTCTGGCCAATAAACACGCTGTACTGGCTGGCTGTTCCGCCTTCTGGCCAGTAAACTGCATATTTTTGCATAAAAAAACGAGGACACGTTGCACCGCTGAGTGGCCCTTCTGTTACTGATCTTTATTCTGTGCAGCAGGTTGACTACGGCAATTCATAAAACTAGAATAGTGAAGCGAATAGTACGAATAGTCGACGAATAGACCGAATAGTCCACGAATATGCGACGAATAGTACGAATAGTGCAATATAGAGACTTTGCAAGGCTTTTCACCAGTGCTGTAGAACTAAATTTACCGGAGGGGGGGGGCTCTATTGACAAACATGAAATCGTGAAAACATTCGTTGACGTACGTCATGACGTCATGCGTAACAAGTAAAAATTACGGGAACCACTGAGTATTTTAATTAATCACGCCGGGTCAGCAAGTAATGATTTTCGGCAGTTTGCATGTCATTAAAAATTGCGCGAATTTTCCGTGTTTTACCAAGGAGAATGGTAACGAATTAATTAGTCATCGTTTTTTCTTTCGCTGATGCTCATGGTATTGTCTGGGTCAAACGTGAACAGCAAATATGGAAAGGAGATGCTTCAAGGATCATTTTAATACCAAATAGTGGCCGTAAACCCACGAGGAAATAATAGAATATTTCGCCTTTTTGAGGACTAAAATGGACGATACTGCACAGTTTGTGAAATTCAACTAGTTTTCTCTCGGATAAAATTTGGCATCGTTTGTCAATCCTTGAAGAATTGTATTTGTAAAGCAACTTAAGACCTCTGGTGAGCATCGTATGATTTTTGTTTGTAAAATTTTGTCTCCGTTTGAGAGTAAAAGGACCTAATACTTAGTTGTTTTCCTTGTGTTATTCATAAAGGATTCGCAGATGCACAGAAGTCGCATTTAAAAGATTTCCAAAGAAAATGCCTAATACCAAAGATGAACGTTTTAACATTGCAATGTATATGAAAGAAAGGAAAGAAGCAAGGTTTAAAGCTGTTCTAAATCATCGATCGCTAGCGTTGGAGCACAAGAAAAGCGAGAGAATTCAAGCCAAGGTATAGAAACCTAAGCAATGTATTTGTTATTCAGATATTAACATTCTATTTACTATCAGTAAATGTTTAACTTTGTTATTAATATAAACATTTACCTATATGCAGATTGTAAAAGCAAAGGAAAAAACAGCTGCTTTGACATCTGATTTGGAAAACAATATGGTGAGTTTCTGCGACAAATCAAATCATGTGGTATAGTAGGATTAAACCCATTAAGCCGTAATATTCTATATTTTGTTATTTTACTCTGTCTAATGCCAGATGATTTTACTCATCAAGGTGAAAATATTGGACATTAACCCATTATACCCCAGCGCTCTCCCTTGACTAGGAAAATCGTCTGGCATTAGACAGAGTAAAATACTAAAGTAGGGTGCATCAGGGTGCAATGCGACTCAATGGGTTAACTAGACACATGGGCAGATAGGCCAGTTAACACATTAAGCGCCAGCGTTTTCCCCTTGACGAGTAAAATCGTCTGGCGTTAAACAGAGTAAAATACTAAACTAAGGTGCATCAGGGTGCAATGCGACTCAATGGGTTAACTGGTAAATTACAGCAGCATATTTTGGTTCATCTATGCATTTTACAATTTACATTATAATATAGCATTTGTAAATTCTGAACGCTGATTGGCTAAGAGCCATGTTGATATAACTCAATGTCAACACGAGAAATTTTCCGCCGCTTGTAAACACGGAATTTTTTCCTATCCTTCGGGCTTTTGACATTGCTATATTATAAAAAAATATAAAACATTTTTTCCGAGTTGATATATAGTTATATCAACACTCGTGGAAGTTGGGAAAACTCGAAATTGTATGGAAACACGATGCCTGAAGGGCGTGTCCCAATTCCACTCGTGTTGATATAAATGTATATCAACACGGAAAATGTTTTATATTTGTTAAATAACAGTCAACTATTTACATGCACAGGTAATATATACTGTAAATTTAAGTAATGATATAAAAGATTCTGGACTTTCATGCAAGAAATACCCCGTCAGATAAACAATTATGATTTTCGAAAACACTTTTTTCAGGTTTTTTACAATTTTATTATTTAACGACAATACCAGTACTGCTAATATATTGCCTGCCTGTGCAGTTCAACTATTTTGGCCTTGTTATTTTGGCTCGGCAACAATGGCTTCAATTACCTCTAATATAATTTGTTCGTGGTGGTAAGTGGGATTTGAGATGGGCCGTGACCATTTGATGATCCTAATTCATTTGTATTGTTAGCCCTGTAATTCTGAGACAAGGACAAGAAAAGCTACGACATTGGAGAATGGGGTATCAAATATGCCAGTTCGAACAACAACAAAAAGGAGGCGGGAAACCATGACAGCGGTATCAGCAATCCATGGTGCATCCAAGAAGAATTTAAACCCTGCTTATGATGGGATGTTCGACACCCTCCAGAAACGATGCAAGATGAAAGATTTAACAAATTATGTATTAGGTAATGAGAATTTAACTAAAACTGTAGTTTCTGAACATTACAAAAAAGAGTTGAAAGATTTTGAAAAATCAAAAGAAAATGCGGAAAGGAGTATTGCTACATTTTACTCCAGTGGTGTCATGGGCAAGAGAAAATATCAAAGTGTTAGGCTTGTGCTTTCAATGACATCAAGCGAACAAGGTGGGAGAACGGGCATATCAATTTTTCCAGGCTGCAAGGTACCCAAAATATTAACATATAATAACCTTGTGAGAGAGTTGACCAAAATTGATATTGGAAATGTTTTGGAAATCAATAACGAGTACCTCAGTGACTTAGAAATAGATGCACCCATCAATGGCGCATACAGAGATCTAAGAGAGTACTTGCCACGTTTAGCTAAGTTCTATTTGAGTACCGATAGAAAACATGCTTTAGAATGGTACGGTAAAACTGAGAGTACATTTTTAATAGCACTAGGAGGGGATGGTTGCCCATTTGGGAAACATGAAAGTGCCTGTTCATTTTTAGTTAGTTTCCTTAATGTTGGTCGAAAGGTAGCATCAACTCATGATAACTTTTGCATTTTTGGGGCTAATTGTGACGAGACCTCTCAAGTTGTAAAAAAATATGCGAGGTCTCTAGTTCATCAGATTGCTCAGTTGGACAAAAAGATTTTCCAAATTGATGACTGGGTCACAATTACCTTTAAAGTGCAAGAACTTCCTAATGACATGAAGATGCTCGCCATGCTTGCAGGGGAACTTGTCATTAGTTCTAAGTACTTCTCTACCTTTGCCAATGTTTGCAAAGATGATGCAACTGACTTGAGGCATCTTTTGGTCCAGAACCAGGGCACAAATGGCAGCCATGGGAATATAAACAAAGGGTCAATGTTGTTGGAAAGGTGGAATCTTTTACTGTCGTTCCAGTGTTCCTCAAATATTGATTCAATACATTATCTCAGGCTGACCAATCCAT